CGCTTGAGGTATTCGGCCAATCACAACGCACTGGATAGCTGGCCAATCAGAGCACACCTCGCTTTTCAGACCGATGAGCTTTGTAAAAATCAACACGTTTCAGAAAGGCGGGGCATAGAGGAGAAACAATAATGTAAAGAAAAAATAATAAAAACATAAAACATTTTTTAACCTTTTTTAACCTTAAACCACAAACACATTTCATTACACCAAATACACAAAATAATGTTATTTTTAGCAACATCATATGGCCTCGGGCTCAAACTGATAAGCGATATTAACGACGCCGTTGTTTACAATACAACCGGAGCACATGCTGCTGAGGTGAGGGGCGGGACGTTTAGATGCACACTAGAGGCGGTTTAGCCAATCACAACACACTGGCTAGCTAACCAATCAGAACCCATCGCCTATTTCTGAGGGCGGGGCTTCATAAAAACAGGAAAAGATCAGCCCGTTTCTCAGAGAAGGGACAGTGCGGTGTGGAATAAAGGTAAATTGTGAAAAATAATGTTTTGTTTTTTTTAAACGAAGCATTAAAACATGTTAGACTGCACCCCATAAACACAATCAAGCCTAGAAAAAAAACAGTGAAGCACCTCTTTAAGTTAGTAATATTAACAAATTGAAATGATTACTAATCTGTGATTTCTTTTTTTTTTAAACAGTGTAGAAAATGTTTCTCCTTTATATGTTGAAAATCTCAATTTCTAAAAGAAAAAAAAAGTATTACTATAATTATCACAATTAATAATAATAGTAATAATAATAATCATATAATTATGTTTTATGCTCAAGGCTGCAATTATTTTATTTAAAAAAAACTGTAAAGTTAGTAATATTGTGAAACATTATTAAAAAGGTTTTCGGGTTTAATATACTTTAAAATGTAATTTATTCCTGTATTGCAAAGCTGAATGTTCAGCAGTTATTACTTCAGTCTTCCGTGTCACATGTTCATTCAGAAATCATTTTAATATGCTGATTTGCTGCTCAAGAAACATTTCTTTCATTATTAATTAAACATTATCAATGTTGAAATCATCTGTCTTCAAAGTATAAATGCTAAAACCTGTTGTGCTGAATAATATTTTTGTGGAAAGCGTGAGAATTTTTTCCCAGGACTCTTTGATGAACAATAAATTTAAAAGAACAGCAATTATTTGAAACAAATATTTTGTAACATTGTTTTTTCGGGTTTAATATACTTTAAAATGTAATTTATTCCTGTATTGCAAAGCTGAATGTTCAGCAGTTATTACTTCAGTCTTCCGTGTCACATGTTCATTCAGAAATCATTTTAATATGCTGATTTGCTGCTCAAGAAAAATTTCTTTCATTATTAATTAAACATTATCAATGTTGAAATCATCTGTCTTCAAAGTATAAATGCTAAAACCTGTTGTGCTGAATAATATTTTTGTGGAAAGCGTGAGAATTTTTTCCCAGGACTCTTTGATGAACAATAAATTTAAAAGAACAGCAATTATTTGAAACAAATATTTTGTAACATTGTAAAAGTCTTTACTGCATGTAAATTCATTATTATTATTATTTATTACAAAGTACCATTTTATAAAAGCAATAAGGAACTCATTAAATATACTACATATTCAAAAATTCAAATGAGGCTGATCAGAGTGCTGAACTACAGGGTTTAATAACATAGCTGGTGCTGATAGCCTAGAGTAGAGTGTGTGTGCTTAACTGCTGTGGCTAATGGCTAATGCATCCCTTGGAAATGTCTGTCAAATCACTCAAAATGTTATGTTATAAAGCAGCTCGTCTTTCATCTTGAGTCACCTGGCGGGGAGGATACGGTGAGTTCAGATGTGTGATACAGTTCTCTAATTAAACGGAAGCTGTGTGTAGGAATATATCTGAGCCCCCGAAATACAGCGTGACGAAATTCACTGGAATATATATGCCTGCGATGGTAAATGTGGTTATTTCAGCGTGGACAGGCACAGATGAGAAAACCCGACATGTGTGTCAGTCACCTCAAACACATCTTTTTTGTGACATTGTCTAAAGAGTAACGTGTGTAAGAGTGTTCAAATGTATAAAAGCTTTCACAGCACTTCAAAGCTTCCAGACCACTCTAGCTGTCTGTTCCTATGTAATAGACAGATAAAGGTAATGCTCAGGACATTACGATTCAATTCGTGCGAGCGACCAAGCGGCCCCTGTTTCCACAAAAAACAGCTGCAGCTTAAAGGAAAAGACAAAAGTGAGTCCAAATGTTAATGGCGAGCCACATGTTTCTTACTGGCTCAAATCAAAATTGCTTGTGAATCTTGCTCGTATCTTGAACGAATGCATGCTGAACGCCACATCTAGGCCCCTGCGACTATGAAGAGAGAATGTGCATATCAAAAAGTTTTCAGCAACCATGTGCTCTCTCAGGGGATGAGGGTTGAGAATGTATTATGAAAATTGAGAGGAATAATAAAAGGATTCTTACCTGATTCTGGATCACCTGTGGAAAGAAAAGTCAAAAGTACAAAGTCAGAGGCACCATTCCAGAACTTGGTTAAAAGATTACAGATGCATAAAACAGAAGCTCTGCTCATTCTTTTATCTAGTCACATTTTTGGTCCTTACAGAAAGTAAATCGCTAATATCTTGAGACTCGCAATGGATCCAATTGAGACTTTTTGAACTGACTTGCACACTGATTTGTAACAAGAATATGAATTTAAAAAACTGGCAGTGTTATGGGGAAAGCACAAAGGAAAATAAATGGGTTGAGTTAAAAATAAAGAACTTAAATCATAATGGAATATGAGGTCTTATTCATCACACTAAAAATGAAAAAATAAAAACATACATTTAAAGTGTATTACATTAATAGTTTTGCCCAGTGACAGAATGCCTACAGAATAAGCTCTTGAACACTGAACTTTCACTAATTCACACAGCACATTACTCACATTGAAATAATTCATTTTGCTCTGTTTGCAAACTATGAATACAAAAGCACCATATTTCCACTGGCAGCCAAAGCAGCTGTAATTCTGAGGAAATCAGCTGAATTCGTGCTAGTAGTGAGGGGGTGTGCAGGCAGCTCCAGGAAACCTCCCAGAGTAAAAAAAAATGTATCTGTTTTATGTCTTAATCAAACACTTAAAGTGTATAACCAATATTTTATAAATTCAGAAGAAAAGTAGGTCTGCCTTAAATAATGATGTCTCTAGTGCTCTGCGCACATAAATTATATCAACCAGAATGTCAAAAGAATTTGGCCAAAAGGACGCATACAAAATTATAAAACAAACATAAAACAGTGAAAGAGATTTTGATTTTTAAAGTCCGATTGCACATCTGTGTTTTCTCTCCAGCTGTGGTTCGCTTTTGTATGTTGGGTTCAAATGTCAAAAGGTTGTCTTCAAAATGTATTCAAACTAAAATCCTAATATCATAATATTTTTTGTAATAGTTATTTGGGTAACAAATGAACAGTATAACCACACTGACATGCATTCAAATGAGGGTCAACTATATGAGGATGGTAGATATTGGCTGAAAGGTTGACGGTCAAAAACAAGAGTGTCAGGTCAGGACTGACTGACATTATTCAAGTTGACACATGTTTTGTATTCAAATACAGTTTTGGTTTGCCAAAACAATAGTTGGTAACACTAATTAAAGCCTATATTTTATAATGCATTATAAAAGTATTTTTAATGCATTAATTATGCCTTGTAATGCACCTTATAATGCAAAATATCACTATGATCTCATAAATAATCATAACCACAGTTATATTACATTATTGACAATTCATTGTTACACCTTTAGAAAGTATAATGCATTTAAACAGACAAACCTTCAAATATTAATGCATTTTTACTTTGGTTACAATTATTTATATATATATAAAAAAAGATTTAATGCATTACAACCTACATTATGAATAGATTTATAATGCATTGTACATAATGTGTTTAAGTAAAGTTTTAGCCAACTGTTTTTAATAGCCAATATTACTTTTTCCAATTCTTTCTGCTTCATGAATATTTCTGTGATTAAACGGTTTCTGTTCCTTTCAACTTTTCTCAAAATCCATTAAACAGCTAAAATAAATTGTATACAGTATAAAGATATGATGTGGAAGGAAACCTCAGATTGTATTTTATCTTTCAAAAAAAATATAATCTTTTTAAATCATTATCAATAAACACCAAGTTCCCATTGTGACAACTAAAGTCATATTATATGACAAAATGCCCAGCTATGCGAGTTACATGAAATAGAAGGAAAATTTGTGACAGCTAGCCCCCATTTCTTATACATCATTCATTTCATACTAATTCCAGCAGAACATGTTTGGCAGACACACCATCTCTGAATCAATGTACAAGATCCATGATTTCATGACAATTCATCGGTTGATAAACTGAATTAACATTTGCCAAAAACAAACATCTGTTTGTGTTTCTACCAGTGATTGCAACTGTTCTCTCAGCAGGTCAGATGCCCTGTGGTTTATAACTCACTCACTGAGATTATATACCTCTACAGTAAATGATCACATTCTTAAGGCCTAGAAAAAATGATCTTTAGCACTGCTCATTTCATGTTCCTGTTGCTATACTGAAGGGGAACTCACAGGAGAGACATAGACAGTACAACATACTGAATAAAGGCTACAAAACACCAAGATCAATGCAAATATACATTAAATAGCCTTTGAATAATGTGTTAAAGCGGTGTCAGTAAAGGCTATGAGTTGTTGTTAGCGTATGTAATTACAAACATGCTTTTAGCAAATGTCACATTTTCCCTACTCCATATGAGCGTCTGCCTCAGCTGGAGTCATGGGAAAGGATGAATGTACTCACTCTCCAAGTCCAGCTGGCAACAACAGGCAAAGTGCTGCCAAGATTAGCCATCGTAAAGAGAGCAGTCTTGTTGTTAAACAAGTACATTTGCCACCTGAAGCAGACATTTATCACTAAACGATTCGTTGGTAGTCTGTGTCCTCACAAATATTATGGTTAGGAAGTGTGATCATATATAAGCAACACAAAATATATATTCAATAATATACAGTCACATGCTGCCAGACATACTCACCCAGATGGCTTTATAATAATAATAATAATAATAATAATAATAATAATAGTTGCCCCCATCTGAATTCTTGAAGTTTGTGGACATTTGTTAATACTGTATGAAATTATTTTGTTGTGGATTGCAGCAGTAAATATAGAGAGATTCTGGTGGTAAAATGGACAGAAATTGTGCCCCTTTTATTTCTTTGGTGTTCAAGGTTTCAATTATGTGATCTTCAGGTGTGAAGAAAGTATTTTTCAAATGTTACTAGATGAAACAGTTAGGTTAGGAAGAGTGGGTCGCAAAAATCCTCTGCAGCAGTGTGAAACGCTTAAAAATAACTACAGGAACTGTAGTTATTGCTGCTAATGGGAGTGTAACTAGTCATTGACTCTAAAGGGGCTCTTTTTCCCAGAGGGACACTGGATGTTACATAACTTTATTAAATACATGAAATATGAATCTGATTATGAACTAAAAAATAAACAGTAAATAAACAGAAAATAAGTCAAGGGACAAACATTTAAGGCCTTTTCACACATGAAATAGTTAACCCTGGGTCATTCTACGCCTTGGTAAATGGAATCCTGGGCTATCCTGCTTCACATTTCACACTGCTTATAATTTAGCTGGGGTTAACAATAGGGGTGGGAGATATGAGCTAAAATTCATATCACGATATTTTACACTGTCCAGGCAATATCGCTATTATATTGCGATATGAGGAAAAAAAATTACAGGCAAACTATTTTCACCTTATATAACTAGAAAAAGTGAGGGATTGGACATAGACCTGAAACGTCTTCTTTTTATGTGCCATTGTTTTTCTCAAAAAGTGCAAACGTGCAACATGAGGTAGGCCTGTAGGAATTCAATTAAATTAAATATTGTGTGTTTGAGTAGGCCAGTGATTCCCAAACTTTTTCTGCCGAGCCCCCCTTTTGTAGAGAAAAATATTTTCAAGGCCCCCTTGGAAAGTCTCTTATGCTCACCAAGGCTACATTTATTTATTAAAAATACAGTAAACACTGTAATATTGTCAATTTAAATGATCAATTTGAATGTTTTAACATATAGGCTACTGTATTCCTGCGATCAAAGCTGAATTTTTCAGTATCATTACTCCAGTCTTCAGTGTCACATGATCCTTCAGAAATCATTCTAATATGCTGATTTGCTGCTCAGTAACCATTTCTGATTATTATCAATGTTGTAAACATTTGTGCAGCTTAATATTTTTGAGGAAACTATTTTTTCACGATTCTCTTATGAATATTTGAAATGGTCCTTTGTGTCAGAGTGCTGGAGTTCGTCAGAAATAGAACGGGGCATCAGCTTACTGTCATGGATTTGTCGTGTCGCACCGCATCAACAGCAGAGAACATCACTGGGTTCTATTTGCTTTTGTCACGTCGCGCCGCTCATGTCTGGTGTAGACACGTTGTTTTGGCATTTGTGAATATTAAGTATATTCAGAATCTGCATTTTGTTTACCTGGCACTGGCAGTATTTTCACAAACTTGTAACTTTCATGCTTAGAGCAGAACCGCATCGTTCATTTATATTATTGCACACAGGACTAAAACGTTCAGTTTCGACTCTTAATCGTCATTTGTGTTAAAATGTGTGCAAAGCGTACCAAATTGAACAAATATAAATGCAAAATTGCAAAACCGGTATCCACGGTATAGCAAAATCCATTTCATGGAACAACATAATACCGGTAGTCACTTTCATACCGGTATAGCGCCCACCCCTAGTTAACAATTAATCCTGGGTATTCATAAACTGACGTTTCACACTGAACATTTCTAAACACTCTTATTTGCATATTTGCAGGTGTCAGTGTCACTCATTGGACGAATGCAGTCTGTGACCTGTTCACATAACGGCTCTAGGACTGCGCATCCACATGATTTATATTGCAGACTGTCCTATCAATTCTTTCCTGAATGGACATTTTGGTGGACTATAAAGGTAATAATGAAACATTCTCTTTTTCTGCCCAATTCACACTTTTTCGGTCACCATTTTACCTTTTCCCCTGAAACTGTAAAACTAATTTTTATACAGCACACAGTGTTTCCACGACTGTCCAAAGCATGTGAATATGAGCCATGCAAATGGGAGTCTGTTGCTAAGCATCTAATTGTACCATTCTAACAGAGTATTCTAACAAAGCGATACTAACCCCGCTACTAAATTACTAGAGTGAAACATAATTTTACCCAGGGTTAAAAGCGAGGTTTAGAATGACGATAAGCCAGGGTTAAGCACTGGGTAAAAAGCCCTATACTGCAATGTGCCCATACATATACAATTTCTATTTCTAGGTTACATTTCAGTTACATTTCTGACACACAAGTCCGTTTTTCTTGCTTCCACTAAAGCACAAGATGTTCTTTAGATCATTCTCCAATCATGCTGTAGAACATGATCATCAGGTTTTACATAAACTCTTGGAGTTCATGCAGTTTGAGTGCTGCTGTCTTTAGAGCAAAAGGGGGCATACTAAATCAATTAAGATTCATGTTAATATTAATATTTGACTTTAGCTTTTCACTCCAATTTTAATGCTGCTAATAAAATTTGTAATTATATAAAACTGAATTATTTTCACTAGTGGTCTTGAATGTCTGTTCAGTATACAGTTAATATATACATCTCTTCTGCTATGGAAGCTAGACCTACTTTTATTTTTTCAGAAGAATGGAAGCTATTTGAAAACTTTTAACAGACTTTTTTGTCATTGTCGACAACAGAAAGCAAATTAAAAAAGCAAAAGAAGAACTAAAGCCTAACCACTAGCTGACAAATGTGTTTATTTTCAAATAAAAGCTCTCCACACTGCTGCCTGTCATGAGGGTGGGCGCAAGGCTCTCGCTGAAGGTGACATTTTGCTGTGCCGAATTAGAAATGTTTTGATTGAAGAGATGGGAACTCAAAGTATCTGGAGTTTATTCAAGGCACTATTACAGTGCAATGAATTCAGGCAAAGTAAACATCATTGGGACATTGTTGCAACCAAGACACATTACTGTTTACCAAAACATTTTCTTTCCAATTAGCAGCTTGCGCTCATTACTCTAGCTTTGGATGAATAGGCACATTGAATAAGGTTATGGTGGTATCGTGTAGGGAAGTTTCACAAGTGAAAAAACTTCACAAGACTGTGAAAAAAAAAACACTTTCCATCTGTTCATGTTTCTGTTGTATAGACCTTTGATAGTGCTAGAGCCCCCCATCCCTCCCCCCAAGACAAATGACTTGTTATTTGAGGACATTAATCTTTTCATTTATTAAAACATATTAGTACAAAATTCATTCCAGGAAAAATAATGTTGTGTGATAAGGTACCACATAACAAACAGTATTCAGGGGAAAAACAAGAAATTGTTCTCTCAGTCTGACATGGTCTCAAATTGATATTGTGAAAGACTATTTTAGAGAATGCTGTAAGTAATGTACAGTCAATAATGACAATAATTTTAATAATAAATAAAATAGAAAAAATTAAATGAAATAAAATATTTAATATTAGAACAAAAATATTAAATAAAAAAATATTAGAATATCAGCAGGGCTGAATCACAGTCGTACTGATATATGTAACAGCACAATTGTGATGTTGCTTAATTATTAATGTTTTAGAGTGTTCCAAATGTTACCAAATGTTCCAAAACATACTGTATCAGGACTGAAACCCACATTTCCTCCAGTTTTGTAGACCCCAGCAAATGTGACCAAAAAAAAAAAAAGTCCCTTTTATCTTCAACTGATCAATCTCTTAGCGTCTGATCTGCGAGCACAGCCAGAGGCCGAGCTGAGAAAAATGAGCCTGTATCCCTTCAGCAGCAGTCTAGGCTGCATTAGTTTCTCTGTATAGAGCTGCAGCTCAAAAGACAAAGGCTGGAAGCAAAGACACGTGCTGGGTCATCTGCTACTTTCGTTCTTAACTTCTGATTTATGAGCTTATCATTTTTTTCTTTGATTAAATGGTTAAAGGTGCAATATAAATAAAGTCAGTTGAAGACTACTGTCCCGCATCCTTGCTGGTAATTAAGGTCACTCATTAGTACCTAATAATTAACAAGCTGGGTCGAATCCCCCACCCACCCACACACACTGTAATTAAAAGTCTCTGATACACTTCAGAGCCCACAGGGGCAGAGTCTTCTTTCTCTGCTGTCTCTTGTCTTGACCTCAGCTGACTCTGGGGCCAAGAAAACTACATAATCCTTTGAAAAGCTGTACAGGTCGTCTGAATAATATAAAGGACCTGACTGCCTTGAGGTCAAATTTCTCCAGGTGGGCAGACAGCGTGCTTTTGAGAGAAGCTTATACTGCCATCCAACTGTTCTGTTCCAAAACACATTAACCTGCGTATGTATGCAGCATTTTAAGGCATCATTGGCACAGTGTTCCAAAAGGTAGGCTGCATAATGATTCTGATTGTTTACTTTGTCAAATACTAAGGGAGAATAGGATGTGTCCTTCTCAATGAATGCTGGGATTTTAAATTATTCTGGGATTTCTTAAATTTAAATATATAAATTAAACATTTAAATTAAAATATGTGTTCACCAAGTATATTTTTGCTTATTGGAGTAGCTTGTCAGTAGCTTAGCAACAAGCTAACACCAAACTCTATTGGAAACAATTGTGAGTCATGTCTCCAGAGTGCCATTTGTGTGGCATGTTGAGTTGCTGAATGTGCAGAGAGTTCACTTATGAGGATCCATTATGGTTAGGATGCTGCCTTGGAAGGCAGCTGTTTATGTAGGCATTAGGCAGCGAGGTAGTGAGGCAGCTAACTAGGTTTTGGAACAGAGCCAATTTAATCCTTAAAAATCAGGAGAATAAACAAACACGATGCATTACAGCATGCTAGTGTTTGTATGCAGTCTCCAGATTACAAACTCAAATACTGAAAATAATCATAACTGACTTGACTGGAAAGCTAGTGAAAAAAATGCTTCATTAATATTATAAATTAATGTAGTTTAAGCTTTGAAATTATACCACACCAACAGAGAAATGATGCTGTGAAATACCACATAGATCTGCAAAAACATATTTTTCTTTTTTTTCTTTTCGTTTTTGTTTTAGAAAGTAGTAGGCTAACTTATGCTCACCAAGGCTGCATTTATTTGACCAAAAATACAGTAAAACAGTAATATTGTGAATTTATTTTACACTTTTTCTAATTAAAAGTTTTCTATTTTAATATATTTTAAAATGCAATTTTTTTTCTGTTATGGCAAATCTGAATTTCTTTAGTCTTCAGTGTCACATGACCCTTCACAAAATCATTTTAAGATGCTGATTTTTTTCAGTTTTTCAGGATTTTTTGATGAATAGAAAGTTCAAAATTACAGCATTTATTTGAAATAAAAATATTTTATAATATTATACATATCTTTGCAGTAATTTTTTTATACATTTAATTAATCCTTGCTGAATAAAGTATTAATTTCTTTCTTTAAAAATTTTTTTAATGACTTTTGAACAAATGAACGATAGATTTTAAGTATATAATTTCTTCATATATGTGTGTGTGTATATCACAAGGGACAATTTAATATTTTGATGAAGACATACATCCTCATATGAGCTTCATGAACCAATCATTAGCAAATCCTGCAATTAGTGAACCCTGCTTATCTCACACAGGCCTGTAATCACTTGAAGTAATTAAGATTGACAGGTCAGTAAGGGAATGATGGAATCAAGCTGCCTTCTGTTATTGCTACAGACAGCGAGTGTGCTCTGTCTAAATTTGTTAGATAAGTATATTTGACTGAAGTGTTTTTGCTTTTCAAGCGGCGGCACGGTAGACTACTCTTATAAAAAATAATTGCAGTTTTAAAGCTTAGCCTGACTACACTGCAATTCAGCGAACATGCAGATAAAAGAATGTGAAGTGTATAATAGATAGTGTAATGACAGTTATCAGCCACCAATGAGTCGCTTCAGCTGAAAGAAGAGGCAAGAAACATTTCAAACGAGTACATTATTTGCATTTTAAGTACACACCCGTAATAAAGAAAGAAAACATTTAGCACATATTTAAAATAAAACTCACATTCAATCGGCAGCGTTCAAACAAAACTACTCATCTTTTTTTAATAAAGCCAAACAGCTAGAATGACAGCAGAGCTCTGGCTCTGTGCATTCTGGGTACGGTTTGTGACCGCACAACACCAGGACCAAAACAAACATGTGAGGGAGAGCGTAAGAGCGTTACCTGCTGCAGGAGTGGCCATCAGAGGAGCTGCTCCTGGGGCTGGGCCAGTGGACAGGACAGGGGTGTGGAGACGCACATGGAGAACACACAGATAGCAGAGAATGAAAGGGCACAGAAACCAACAGGACAAAGAAATGGAAGGAAAATAAGGTAGATTAAATGAGTTGTGGAAGCAAGGGTTTTGTAAAAAAAACAAAAAAAAACGGGGAATAGAAAAAAAATAAGGAAAAGGAAACGGGAGAGGACCCCATACCTTGGCTCTTTAACGTCAGGTGCGCCAGACCTTGAAGGAAAAAACAGGAAAAAGAAAAAAAAGAAATAAGAGGGTCATAAAAAAGGCACGGGCGGAAACGAAAAGCATTGTCACAACGTTTGACTGCAGTTTGTGACAGACATCCTGAGGCAAACACGGATGCCAAATTTAAAGGAAACCAAAGGGGAGGGGAAAAAAGGAGGAAGGTAAAATAAACACACTTCTTCAAGGGAGGGCAATAAGAGGTGTTGAGGAGGAAAGAAAGGGAGGGAGGGAGGGAAGGGAAAGGGTGAGGAAAAAAGCATTTCAATTGGCACAAGTGCCAAAAAGGCACTTGCTCACAAAAAAAATGCTTTTTCTCCTAATGGAGCACATATTTAGTGTTTGGCAGGTAGCATTCCTTAGATCATACGCTTCTATGCTATAGCAGTTACACCCATAAATGTTGCATTCGAAAGTCACAGACTCATAAAATAGCAAAGAGAGATCAGAAAGCAGTGGGGAAACATCTCATAAAAAGCAGCGGGGACCAAGATAAATTCTCCCAAGCGCACAGAGGCAACCCGTCCCAGACAGTCTATCGTCTTACTAACAGACAAAAGCTTGCGAGTTGATTTCAGCGCTGTAATAATATATGCAGCTTGACAGCTCAGTACCAATCAATTACACACACCGATGCGGGAGCCATTATCCGGCAGTTTACGTTCTGTAATCACGATGCAGTGGTTGCTGTTTACTCCGACTAATGCGAAGAAGTGTTGTAGAGAAACGCAGAAGACAATCAGGAGGAATTGCTATGCAAATCCAGATAAGAGCCGACCAAAAAAAGAAGGGTCAGACATACAAATAACTGGTGAGGAGATGTTTGATCGGGTTCTATTTTATATCAAATGCCGTAAACAAACTGGAAAACAAAAGTACACAAACCAGATCAGACAAAATAACGCATCAACTGGGAGCTTCGTGAAAAACCACATTAACTCCATTTACGCCTTTCCGCACTTATTCCATGTTGTGAGGAATATGATTACCTTCAGGAATGCCGCACATTAGCTGTGAACGCTCTCTGGTGAACTGAACCGCATTTAAGGCGATATTTAATTGAAAAGGGAGAATGTTTCCTTCAAATTCCAAATGCACCTCCAAGGAACCACATGGCAAAAACAATCCCAGATTTACAGAGACTGGGCCTGCTTGGAGCTCTCGTCGCCTATGCGTTTCATTTCCATGAAACAAAGGAATATTATGATTATGGAGAGCAGAGTTATAGTGTCATTGTTCTCTCTGATGTTCCTGTGTGATTTTTTGACAATTACCATGGTACCATCGCTTGCCCTGCTACTTCTATGCTGCACTCTATTAGCGAGATAACGCAGCTGTAGAATAGATCATTGTAACTGGGAGTTACTAGTCATTGTGCAGGCAATTCCTTAAAAAAATCTCACAAATGAAGGGAGCGAAACGATAAAAGACAGTTTGGTTTATGAGAACAGAACAAGAGCTGCAACTCGTGAAGAATAATAATATGCGAAATCGCAAGGGATACGGTAAACAATGATACAGAGACAATATCTAAGGAAAGCACAATGACGGTGATCTGAACAATGTGCAAGCCTTACGCAAGCGTTTTAGAACAAGTAACAGCTTTGGGATATTGTTTTTTCTCATTTAAATATCTAAATATATAATATGACTATTCAAAGTCATTATATTATATTATATTATATTACAGGGCTTCTCAATTCCAGTCCTCGAGTACCACCGCTCTGCACATTTTGTATATTTCTCTTATCACTTAAGACATTTGTTCTATTCGACCGTAAGTGCCCTGCTAAGTGGACATCACAGGATATTCCGCCATGATTCCAGTTCAGAGGGAGTTTATACTATATGTTCCATTGAAAGGGCATTAAAGTGTGCGAGACGTTAATTTAAATTGTATTTATTTACAGAGGTATATTATGTCACACTTCACACTTCATCTGTGTGTGAAGACGCTGCAGGCGGTGGTGTAGCGCAAATCTGTGAATGAATGTTCCGAAGTAAAGAAAATTTCAACAGATTTCCCGTGCTCAGGGAGTAGGGAGCAATGAACACTGTGTAGGGACCCTGTCAATTGGAACACAGTTCATGCATAGAGCTCTCTTCTAAAGAAGAGTGGTGAGTATGCAAGGCTTGTTATAATAACCACTGTTACATTATATTACATTACGTTACGTTATATTATATTATATTATTATAGTCTTTGCTCATTTAAATATATAACATGACTATTTATGACCTGATAATTATAATTGTTATTCATGCAGCTTTTATGAGTTCATATTCATTGAGAGGGTACATGGACTATTAGTACATTTAAAAAGTCATTTGTCACACCGCAGAACCATTTAGCTAAAGAAAATGAATAAAGGTGATAAGAATGGTGAAAAACCTGAAACAGTGACCAGCACTTAAAATGTACTGTCCCTTAAACACTAACGTAAATTGTAACCGAAAATCTTTTATTTTAAAAATTAAAAATGTAGATTCAAATGCAGAGTTCATTAAAATGCCCCTATTATGCATTTTCGAATATTACCTTTCATTCTGTGTGTAATGTAGCTGTCTGTGAATGTAAACGATCTGCAAAGTTGTGAATACAACAGTGCATGATAAAGTTATGGTCTCAACATTTTTTTATTAATTAATTAAATATATATATATATATATATATATCTATCTATATATATAAATAGCATCTTTCAATCCATCTTTTCTATCTATCTATTCTTCCATTCATCCATCAAAAACTGCAAACATGTTGTTCTTCATGTGTCTGAATACAGTAGTTATCTGGTCTGGTGTGGTGACACCTTACGTTACGATGCCTATATACTAAGAGGCATCGCCTTTGAAGATGATACATCATTTATGTGCCTCTCCTCTCACACTTTTAGACACATAAAGAGAACCTCTTATTTATAAATGACCCCATATCCAGACTTTCTTCTGCATGTGTTTTAGCAGTTTTTTCCCGCCACCTGAAATGGTGTTTTTTGCCTCATTCATTCTAATTTCAGTCACAAAAGCCTATAAAAGTGTCTGTCCCATGATTCCATCCGCCACTAGTCATATCTCAACTGTCACATCTGTTTCGTATAACAGTTTATGCCACAGTGACTTCTCAAATTTGAAAAATGAAGATGAAATTACCTACAAACTGGCACATAATGGAGTACAGCGAAAAAGCCAACTGCATCAACAGATAGTAAGGGAGCACACAACCACCCGGGAATTAAAAAGCAACACACACCTTGCTAACAAATATTTAAACAACGATTGGCACAGCGAAAAAAAGGTTGCGGAGCCGCTCTACTGTGAAATGGAGGTATTTATACCGTGTTTACATTCATATTTCTTGCTCAACAGCCTTAACTAAAAGGAACAAGCACACAGTCAGAAATAATTATTAAATATTAATTGATTCCAGTCTCTTAGTTCTATTACGTTTTAAAGCTATGCGCCGTTGCATTAAGGAATTTTTCATTAAGCCGTTTCACTTGTGACCAACGAGCAGTCATTCTCCCACAACCGTCAATTTCTCTCACGCTCTCCAATTTGTAAAGGGGGGTGATTTATTCAGCTAATTTAACCAAGAGATACAAAGATGGACAGTAATGGCTCATAGAGAAGTCTCTCTTCCCTCCCAGTGATGCATATTTTAATATGAAACAGGTAGAGCGGCTGCGTACCCACTGAGCTGAACAGCGGACAGAGCAGCGGTAGCCTTGAGGTGTTGGCATTTTAAAAAGGAGCGTATGCTTCATGTAAACATTTATTTTCTGAGAATGCAAATGCAAGGCGTCATTGCCACAGCGCTGTCTGACGAGGAGAGGCCTGCTGTGGACGTCTGCATTGAAATGCGGTGGCCCATCTGCGTTGGCATAGCAACAGGCTCCCGTGTCTCCCTTAGTATGACGTTGCAACTAACCCACTCCCTTCCATTTCTTTCTGTCTGCCTGCTTCTCGCTCACATTTCTTTTCTTGTTCCTGCTCTGTTATCATGGCCGTTCACCTCCACCTGTCTGGCTTAATCTGGATGAAAGTGGTTTTCAAGAGATCAATTTGTTTAAATGGGTCAATAACATGGCCATAAAAGTGTTTACCTCACAAATAGTTTTCTGGAAGAGGGGAGATATTTTTTTTTAAATGGCAAGCGAGTATCGAACTGCATGCTAGAATAATAAGAAGCGAGCAAATAAAAATAATTCATAGCAGGCAAATCAAAAGAGCTTGTTTAGGTTAACGTGTTTCCATTACAAGGATTGATTCGGCCCATAAAATGCAGATTGCAAAATGTATAGGGTGATTTAATATGAATGTCTTGGTGAATATAATACATTTCAAGACAATCAACTAGAAATATAATTTGTAATATTGCTTTTGCAGTTTCATAAAAAGTAATTACGGAATTTACTCCACATAATTCCATCCTCACATTTTGGTCTATCCCTACGTTGCTGTGGAAACGAGGCAAAATTATGCTTGCTAGCTTACTGAATTCTATGGAAGTCAGTTTCTGCTACATCAAAAAATAAATCAATAAATAAATAAAATCAGTACACGCTATTTAGAAAAAAAATGTAGAGAGCTCTCATTATTTTGAAATAACTTCAATTTAAGACATTATGATTATTTCAAGATATTTTAAAAGATACCCTAAACAGAAACTCAATCTGACATTGCATTTAAAAAATGAAATTATTTGAAGATAACATTTCATTATTTTGAGATGGTTTAGTAGTATTACATTTATGATGTACTAGACCAAGCTACCAACTATAATTTAAATCAAGATTGAGCTCTCATTTAAAAAAATCATTACAAAACAACATTTATTTTGAAATGAGATAATAATGAGAAACGATGCAAACTGGAAATAATTACATAGGATCTCATAATTTTGAAATATCTCATTACTTCAAGATTATCATTTTGAGATAACCATTACTTTCAGATATCATTATTTTGAGACATTTTAAGAGATA